AATGAAAATATTTGTCTAAATGGATTAGGCACCAAAACTTTCAGAAAAGCTGTTTTTCTGAGATTCAGAACTCTTTGTTTCTTAATCTTGTGAAGATCTGTATATTCCCACAAAAAGCTGGACATAACGTGTTCCTGTCACAGGAGTGCTGGCAGTCTGAGTCCAGTTTGTGAGATAGTTTGGCGCTCTGAAAGCTGCTGCTATGTCCTCATTCTATGAGAGGAGAGGATTGCTATTGCTTGACTCTGGGAAGTGTTCTACAGAAATGCCTCAAAATTGTCAGCTAAACTGCAACACTGAAAAGCTGAGACCACTTAAAATGCTGTAAATTATATGTGTATAAATAGAGGAACAGAACCAGGGGTTGTGGCATGTTTGGAGATTCTCATCTAACTGCAGAAGATGAAGAACATCCTTGTAGTGATCAAAGTGATTATGGCTTCTAAACAGTTTGCCTCCTACTTGAAGCTGTCATAACCTGACGGCTTTGACTGATTATGCATTGGTAAAGGTTCAGACTGCCAAGGAGATAAATCTGGGCTGCCTTCTAGTCAGGTGATCACAAACTCAGTTCAATACCCAGATTCCTCCTCAACCGTCTTACTTCTGCCCAACTGTGCAAAATAGGTATATGTACAATACCAAACCAATGTCCACAAAATGATGTCTGAAAGTAGGAGATAAAAGAATAGTATCTTGGAAAGGAACTGAACCAATCAAACTTCAAGATTGCCAATAAATGTATGCTTATTAAGTGTCTAAATATTTGCTAGTAGGTATTATGTTAGATCTAACCTTATACAGATAGTTGTGGTAATACAGGTATTTGTAGTATTATTATTATTATTGTTCTTGGTACCAGTAATAACACAATTGCAATTAAGTGTCATGTGGTCAAGCATCCCTCAGTGGGAGGATGTCACTGTACTAGTGAGATCCTCAGCTAGCTCTGCTCTAGGGCCAGCTTTCATAGAACTGCTTTATCTACACAGTTAGTTACAATCTGAAATCAGACCAGAAGTTCAGACTTACAGCTTGTGCTCTGAGCTCAAACCACAGGTCAGCTGCTCTTTCTGCTGATGAGCACTTCTTGTGGTATCGTGTACCAGTGTGCATCCTGTTGGTGCATATCATGTATCCGGAGCTGGGAGAAAAAGGGGGGGGTTGGGGGGGGGAGCTGTGTCACCACAGAAGCCCCATTGAATTTACTGGGAAGAAAGAGGTCACAGAACTCTTGAAAATCATTTTCTAGCCACAGCTGAGGTAGGGCAAGGCTACAGGGCATTCTTGCGCTTCATGGCTGTTCTTCATGTCAACGGAGTCCAGCTTTTGGGGGTTAGGTGGTGTAAGACAAAGGTAGGAGAGGAACAGTTGCCCAGAGTATTTATTACGTGCTGTGAGCTAGCATGCACGGAGCTTTGCCTCACTTTGAATGAGGAGCCAGTTGAGAGCTTACAGGTCAGGATTAAACAGGACCATCAGTGTGAGAGACATTGTGATAGATGTCTGCTACAGGCCACCTGATGAGGAAGAAAAGGCCTTCTTCAGACAACTAGAAGAAGCTTCACATTTGCAGGCCCTTGTCTTTATGGCGAGGCTTCAACCACATCAATCTCTGCTGGAGGGGCAGCATGGGAGAGCCCAAACAATTCAAGAGGATTCTGGAATGCATTAATGGTAACTTCCTGACACAAGTGGTTGAAGAGCAGAAGAGGGGACATGCTGTGCTGGACCTCTACGTACAAACAAGGAAGAATTGACTGGAGATGTGAAGGTCAGGGGAATCCTTGACCGATGAGATCATGGAGTTGAGGATCCTGAGAGTAGAAGCAAGGCAAAAAGTGGGATCACAACCCTAGACTTTAGGAGAGAGGACTTGGGCCTGTTCAGGCCAAAACCTGCTTGGAAGAATCCCATGGCATGTGATAGTCTGGGAACGAAAAGGGTTCTAGGAGAGCTCAAGATTGATCTGTATCTGCACTTGCAGGAATTTACATTGTCATAAATCTTTATATTAAGATTGCCAGGGAGGAAATGTTTTCTTGATTATGTTTTGAATATGCAGCAGCCAGAATCTAGTCAGGAGGTGGGAACTCATCATTGTGCAGCTGTGGCTTTCAGTCTTTATTATTCAGCAATTCCTTATGCTTGGTGACTTCCGTCAGACTCCATACTTGGTATTGAGAGGGCTTGATGCTGCTCCCTGTGACAGCATCTCCAGATGCTCTTACAGAAAGTGGCTTGCTTGTTGCTGAATGATTGCTAATGTTTGAGCTCCGTGCCAGTTTAAATCTTTGGCTTTCATCTTACACTGCTTTCATGCTTGTATAGGACAATACCACTTATTTGGGGACCGTACCACTGTGTTTCAGTGCTTTACTTCAGGCTGTGCTTTGTTTCTTTCACCTCCCAGTGCCAATAAATCCATGGCCTTGGCAGTGATTCCCATTGCTAGTGTAAGGAGAAGGGGGTATTTTGCAAGATAGTGCTTTGGGAGGTGTATCCTAGAAGGTGGTACAAGTGAGTTGCTACCTTGGTATATCTGAGAATGGATAGAAAGAATCTGGGTAGATGCCAGCATTTAAATACAGGTAACTGAAGTTGTGCACTTACATGAATGTGGACGTGTGTGGGAGCACAGATGGCGGATAGCATGGTGAAAGAGCCTGTACAAAACCACAAAGCTGCTGGATTTAAACAGATAAAAGTCCCTAGCTTTCTGTGTACTGGCATTCAAGGGGTTGTGTCATATGAGTGCAACTTTTTAATTAGGGGCAACTAGACCTCAATCACGTTGTTTGGGTATCAGTGTTGTCTGCTGGAGAGAGAGTCTAGTATGTGTTTATCTTTGTGTAGTTCCTTAAGAGTTTTGTAGGCTGGTCAAGTAGCCATTATGTGTTCTCTGAACATGTATTTGAATAGTGTGATGCCTCCTACCTTTAAGCCTTTAATTCAAAACAACTCTTTCAGGAGGTAGGTTTTAAAAATTAACTGTCATGTTCTGATCAGGCTGTTAAAAATATGTCAAATAAAGTTTAAATTGAAGTCGGATTAGTAGCAACCTTGTTCAGGTGCTCGGGCCTTGGAATAAAGGTCTACTGTTCACTGCAAATGAGACGTGTGATCCACTCTACAAAAAGGGCACAGAAATATTCAGTGTCACTTAAAATGTGTAGAGGTGTGTGCTAACCTTTTTGCACTGATTCTTTGAGAGGGACTGTGGTAGCTTTAAAACCGTATCTTATCCGCTCACTGTTTGATCTTCTCTTTCTCAGGGTAAACAGAATAGCTTCAAACCTCTCTAGGCTCTATAACTGACAGCAAGTGGGGTTCCTGTTTAATGGATTGTTTAGAACTTAATTTTCCCCCTGTTCTTCAGGGAATTGGTGTCTCTGAGAAAATAATTGCATGCTTGGTCAGGACAGAAACTTTATTGCAGTGATCCAACAGCCTGAATACAATTATGACACTATATGAGAAACTTCAAGCAAATGGCCCATTCAGAAAGCTTACGTAACCATGGCAGGTTTGAGTTTCCAGCAGATTTGGGTTTGCCTTTTTGATTATCATCTGATGTGAGAAGAGGCTTAGAGTTTCAAGTTCACAATACGTCTATTCAGAGCAACTCTTTTATTAGCTTGAACAGTATCTGCAGAGTTCTCTTCATCTTTGGCTTTACTAAAAGAAACTATTTAAACTTAACCAACAAGCAGGGATCCTGGAATTATAAGCAGAGTATCATTTTGTTTTGATAAGGCTGTCTATTACTTTGGGCTCTGTGTGGAGTTCTTAAATGATCCTGTTTATCTCCTCTGCATCGTGGAAGTTTTAGTACTGTTCCATGCAACTTGCTTATTTTTTAAGACTTCAAATTACTTTTAACCCATTTACTGGGTTAAAAACTCTGGCCCTGGGCATTTCTGCCACAGAGTCTGTCTGAAGCTGCAGGTATGAAGTGTAAATTTTGAATTACATTAAATGTATAGCCTTTTTCCTCACCCTTTTGTGCAGGTCAGCATAACAGGAAGGACAGAATGAAGTACTGACAGGTGGGAGAAGGTTGGAGTTGGAAAAGAGCAGATATTTTGTGTGTGTGTTAAGGGGAAAGCTGAGGTTTTGCAAGTTTAGGATCCTGTTTGGTTTCTTTTAAAGCCTTCCAAAAAACACAGAAAAGCAGCTGGCTTCATTCCCCTGTTTTCTTTTTGTAGACTGAAGTCTTTCCTGTTGATTGTGGGATCTACTGTAGTTATTCTCTCATGTCCTTGTTGTTCCCAGACTGGTGGAATTCTGCATGCTCTCCTTCAGGCAGCTCCTGGGCATAATTTTGAAATTCTAGTGACTGTGGGTTTTGGCTCTTGGCTCATACATGTGAAATTTCACACAATAGTGCAAAGTTGAACATGCCCAATAGCTTTGGGAGAAGTTCTGATAGTGTGCATTCTACTTCAGAAATCTTTCTCAGAGCTGAAATGAATGGAGGTATTTAAACTTTTCAAGTGTGAGGGTCACTGAGAGATGTTTCAGTGCAGGTTCCAGAACTGTACCTTGGAATCTCCTGCCCTAGTTGTGGAGATTGTAAGTTTGTCTTCTTTTGAGATACACTTATTCATTTCCATCTTGTCTGAGAGACAATACTGACTTCTATCATGTGAGATTCTCTTAAAAAAAAATGAAGACAGAGTCTTACTCGTCCATACTGTGTTATCTCTGTCTGTGAGTGTAAGTCTACGTTTTAGACAAAGCAGAATCATTTGTTTTGTGTTAAATCTCCTGTGGTGTCTGGTGGTCCATCTTCTATAGAGAAATTCTTGGGCTTTCCATTTCTTTATATGTGGGAAAGTATTTTTGTGTTATGGCTCACTGGTACATCTAGGCTGATTAAAATAGATGGTTTGTGCTGAGTTCCTGGGTGTCAAGGTGGGATCAGTGAAGTCTGAAATATATGGATAAATGCTATTGAACTAGAAGACTTCTAATACTGATTTTTGTTTTTATTCCAGGAATGTACTCCGGAGAACCTGGAACTGAAAAGGAAGATTTTCGGTCAGTTAGATCTTATTGTTGGTGACAATGTTATCTTGAGCAGCTCGACCTCTTGTCTCTTACCCAGCAAATTGTTCACTGGCCTTAAGCATGTTAAGCAGTGTATTGTGTCACATCCTGTAAGTATGATGGCATGTTTTGTTTTTGTAGTAGTAGTAGTACAGGTGTTTAACTAAACTGCATCCCAAACTCTTCCCTGCAGATTGAGAGATATAGAAAGATACTTGGAGTGCTTTTGTGCCATCGTTAGTGTGCAAGGGCCTAACTCTTCAGAAAAGCTTTAGTTTGGTCATTCTGTGAGCAGCAGCACCTACTAAATTGAGAGGATGTGTGCATGTTTCATACCATTGGCTCAAGATACATTCTATGTAAGCTGTTCTGCTCATATTGTTGTGTGTTATTCAAACTACTGGCTCTCAAAATGTAGGAATTCTGTGTTTTGAAGACAAACCTATGAAATTCCCAACTTTCTTCCTGTGGCATCATTAGTCTTTTCAAGCATCCCTTTTCAGCTGCTGTTGGGTAACAGTAAGGATCTTGCATGTGCTTGTCAGGTTGTGTCGATGAAAGATGGAAGGATTTGACTCTGGGTTTCTGCAGACTTCTGATGCAGAAGCAGTATACCTGAAGAGGAAAAGCAAGTGGATGAAGTTGAACAAATGGTACTTGCAGCTGAATTTGCATGCTTTGTGACCAGCTGGGACAGAGCAGTGATGCAGAAATGGCATGACTAGAGGTGGCAGCAGAACCTCAAAATGCTGAAGGGCACCTGTGAGCCTCTGTAGAGCTCTATGTGGGGCTGCCAGACAGCGGTTTATCACATCTCTTCTCAGTATGGAAGAGCATTTTTTCTTGATCACTGAGATTCTTACTGCTTCTGTTTTCCACTACCCCATAGCTAATGAATTTGTTAGCCTAATGTTAGCCTGCTGTTTGACAGATCAGTTACGAAGACTTGCAGTATCTGGAGAAAGGTACTGCTCTGCTGTCTGCAAATTGGTAACTACATGTTGTCTCTCCAGGGCATCCCTCAGGGTGTAAAGTAAATGTCAGTTCCCTGGGCATGCTCAAGAGTGATAGTGTGAACAAAAAAATACAGCACTACTTTACTGTAAAGTCTCTACAGCTACCTGTAGCCTAATGCTCCGCTGTCAGAGAATTTGGTCAGTGCCTTTCTGACACCCCTTCATCGCCACCATTGTGCCTTGGAGTGACTGAGAAGCAAAAGGATTGGTTTTTTTCTGTATAATTAGTTTTCATCCCCTTTTAATTGGAAAAAAAAAATCAAACTTCAAAGTATGTATCTGTGCCTAGGTTTAGCCTTTCTCCAGTCTAAAATTCAGTAGTTCCTTATCTCATATTTCCAGGGTTGTAACTTTCTGTAGTGCAACAGAAGAGATAATGTCTCTTCTAGACTTCTGTATTAAGTAACTGTAGCTGTGATTTTTTTTTTAACCAGTTCCTGGTTCTGCCTATTCTCTGACTGTTTATCAGTCTTTGATTTTTATATTACTCTTTCTTACTGTTTTCCCAAGCTGGTCTGTACCAATTGTCTCGTTTAGTCTGAGCTGCAGTCTTTAGAGGAGCCACTTCTGAAACCAGGTTTTATCAGATCTGGAAAAGTAGCTAGTCCCTGTGTAAACATTTTCTAGGTTGCTGTTGTAAGCATATATGTATTTTCCAAAGCAAATACACTAGAGTGCCTTGAAATATCTAATTGTTCTGAAATGGCTTTGCAATCCAACCGAGACTATTTTCTTAGTAATCTCAGCTTCACTCTAAAGGGAGTGTACTGGAGAAGCTGCAAGCCGATGTACTCTTCCAGGGGCCTTTCTGCATCTGTTATATCGGAAAACATGCTTGCTTAGTAGTAGTTGTTGGCTTTTGGTGTTTTTGTTTTAACCATGGCCTTACTAACATCTTGAATGTGGCAGTAAGACATAGGGAGTGGTGGCTGTGGGAAGCAAGCAGCTCTGGAAGACACTGTGACAAGAAGTTTTGATACACCAGAAAAATTAAAAGCTAAAGTTGTAAGGCCTCTGGCACAGGTGAGCGTGTTGAGGAGAAATGAAATGCCCAGAGGGCAGAATGAGCTCATCCCTTTTCTTAACATAGCAATAGCTTCAGTATTTAGAAGAAAATAAATGAAACCCCATAGCACAGCTGTATGATAGAAATGCACGCAATACTTGTAGGTACAGCTGTTGCCTGCAAGCAGTTTCAGGCAATGTATCGGTGGATGTCTTCTGTAGAGCACTTGATTTCTCGTGCACTGCTAGGTCACGCAGCTAGCAATAATGAGGTAGATGAGAGTGTGAGCCATAGAGCGAAGTCCCTTGCCGTACAGGAAACCATGTAATCAAATCACCTTAAAAATGTATTAAGGTCTATCTGTTGGATTGTTTTCTTTAACTCCACTACTCCTGTTGGAAGTTGTTTCTATCTTCTAATTTTTGTCACAATCTTATGAACAGTCCATTAAAATTAATTTGATGTTTGTTGGCAGCTTTTATGTAGCTTAATTATTTCTCTGTGTTTACTTTGTCATATCCTTTCTTAGCTTTCATTTTGTTAGGCTGAGTAAGGTAAGCTCTTCTGCTCCCTGAAGAAAGGCTTTGCATTCCCCTTCTTATTTTTAGAAACCTTGCCCCATCCCCAATTTCATCCGTGTTTTACGCTTTTAGTTTTTACCAACATCTATTATCTCACTCCTAAAAAATTGTCTTCCTAAGTCTCCTCTGTGTGCTCATGAACACACCCGTATACTCCCTGTGCCAAGTTCATGAAACAGAATATTTCAATAAGATGACTGTCAGCACTAATCTTGGAAGAAATTTATAATAGCCTCAGTCTCTCTCAACAATTAACTTGTCCTCTTCCTAATTTGAACCTGTGATATACTTAAGGGTTAGAAAAGCCTTCAGAGAACTTCTTGGTGCTTGCAGTGGTTTGAGTCTTGCTAAATTGCCTGGCACCACACCTGCGATGGTGTCTGTCATGCCGTTCTCAGCATTGGTGGTGGCACTGCCAAAGAGACTGATGTGAGAAAGGTTATGTTGGAACACAAGGCACTTTAAACAGGATGAAGTAAGTGTGTTACATCAGTAGTTAGAGCAGACGTAGCCTATAACAGGCTATGCGTTGGTCAGACCCTACAGTAAAAGGAACCATGTAAGTATTGAAAAGAAAGAACATAGAGAGGAAACGTGCTTGCACGTTGCTGTGACTAAATCCTGTAGTTGCATTTATATGAGCACAGTTAAAAGCAGTTGACTATAAGGGAGGATGGTGAAAGAATCAGTACTTAATTACCAACCTTTAAATGTCAGTTTTATTTCTGGTAGTAATTTATGACGTTAGCTCTTTCCATTGCCTGGAAACTAGACCAAGAGCTGAGTTTAACACCTTAAGAATATGGCTGAAGGACTGCTGCTTTTGGAAAGGGCGTGCAGGCAGTATTAGCGCCTGTAACACTATGACCTGAAGAACTTCTAGCTGTTTCTATGATGTTCTTTAGAATTTTTTATTACTTCAAAAATATATTGCACAAAAGTCTTGACTTGATGAGAAGTTACATTTCGGAAGAGTCAGGGAGAGGTAAATCATTTTTTTTTAAAGTAGGTACAGTGTTTGAAGGTAACCTGTTCTGCAACTTTTTCCAAGTATGTTTTATGTGATATCTGTTACTGTGTTTAGCATATATTTACAGGCTTGGGCCAGTAGCAGCTTATCTATCAAGTGTTGCATCTTACAGGTGGTGTTTAGCAATAATTTTGTTATAAAGTTCTTGAATATCTAAAAGAAAATGCCTTGCTTCATTTGGAAAGACAGGTGGTGGCCATATGTCTTACAACAACAAACAGCCTGAATGTTGAGAAAACATCCGTTACTCAAGTCAGTATAAAGTATTATAGTATTGTTTGAGTGCTATCACCTTTAGTGTAGCTCCATGAACTTTGCTGGGGTTAAACAGAGTTAGAATTAATGCAAGATTAATTATTTTTTTCATTTTGAATTAATACACCAGGTCTTACTGGATTAGTGAAATCTTTCAAGGTCTGAAGATCAGGCTTACTGTTTTCACAAGAGAATATCCATGCTAGTAGCAAGCTATAAAGATGCTTTATATTAACTCGTTCTGTTAATCTGTTGATAATTGACATTCTTCTTTTCTGTTTCTTCTTGAGGTAAATCCACCTTACTTTGTGCCGTTGGTTGAAATTGTTCCTCATCCAGAAACAGATCCTTCTACTACAGAGAGAACATATGCCCTGATGAAGAAGATTGGTCAGTCTCCTGTCAAACTAAACAGAGAAATTGAGGGGTTTGTCCTGAATCGGCTCCAGTATGCAGTGATAAGTGAATCCTGGAGACTTGTGGGTGTATGTATTTTTATTTTTTTCTGCAATTTCTACAGACATACACTGCAGGTCTTGTAGATGTTACAAGCAAGATCATATTTAAATTTCCTGTAAATTTGCGTCATCTTTGTTAAACTGTCCCTTATGAACATGAAATATATACTAACATGTAAATTAAAAACAGTAAGAAGTGATGTCAGTTACAAATAGCAATGACTTAGAAAAACAAAGTGATATGATCATAACCACTATCCTTTAACCTGCTTGCTTTTTAGAATACTATCATTTTCAGGAAAATTAAAAGAACAGTCTTAAAAGTACAGACATGAAAATGCTGATTTTTCTTTTTTCTAGGTTGTTTCATCATTTCCTGTTATTTTCTGAATGGTACTGGCCTACCGTACAGTGGTTTTGAAAATAATATTTTAAATGGTTTTCTCTTTGGCCTTTCAGCAGTTGCACTCATGGGTTCAACAGTTATTTGATACTTGTAGTTAAAGACAGATTTCTCCTCTTCCTGCTCATTCAGACTTCTAGCTGAGAATCATTTGTTTGTGCCCCTTCAGCTTTTCCCACAGTTACCTTTTCTGCTGCAAAGTCTGATCTTTCATCAGGAAGAGCTAAATTATAAGTCTATTGCTATTCTATTGAGAAGAGATTCAATTGGGCTTGAGTAGGGCTTACTTTTTTTTTTTTTCATGGAGAATGTTTTGATTTTTCAAGCTGTTTAAAACAACCATGCACACAAATACAAGTAAAGATCTTAAAACTAAGGTAATATTAACATATCGTAAACAAAACAACTGTTTTTCTAAAGCAGTATCTAAACATAGTTGCTGAACTGATTTTGCTTACCTCTAGTTAGCTTCCACTAACACCACAATACAACAATATAAAGGAGGTGGTGAATAAGTAAAACAATATTGTTAGGAAGGAACTTATCTTCTACTGGAGATGTTTCTTTAAACTGAAAAAATAAAGGTTTCTGTTGGTAAAAAAGTTAATACAAATTCTTAAGGATATGGTAAGAAAAACCCCTTCAGAAAGCTGTAATCATGTTGAAGGACACAGGATAGAAAGGATAGTAACCTCTAAATTGTTTTTTAAACCCTAAAAACCCCAGATGAAAAAAAATTTGAGAACAAAAATGTAAAAATTACTTCTAAAAAAGTGAACAAGGAAGGTAAGTTCATGGTGAAAAATCTAACTGAACTGCAATGTTCATTGTTAAGGAGGTTCCCACACTGTAACTTTTCCTTGAAAGGAAGGGATCTGCTGTAGAAGTAGAACAATTCATGCTAAGAACAAGATTTTTGGAGCAGGAAAGAGTAAATGAGTAATGGCAGATTGTGAAGGAGAAATGGAACTTACCCAAGAATCCCAAAACTCAAATATGAAGTTGATGAAATACTGATTTAAGCACCTTTGTGCACAGTAACTAGCATAATACAGCAGAAGTGGAAGTTAGCACTTACATCTGAGCTCTTTTAAAAGAGTTCAAAGTGTTGTTGGGAAACCGTGGGCCAGTAAGTCTGATAATGTGTAGGCATACCGATACAATGCCTTTGGTCAGCACAGGTATCCAGGGAGGTAATGCCTCAAAAATGTAGTAGGATTCTTTCATGTCTCTGAGAGGCACAAACTGAATTGCGGAAGTCACTCCTATAGAAACCAAGGATGTTAAAAATACAAGTGGGTTCAGGCAACATTTAGATACACTCATGGAAAACCATGCAGAAGCAACCTCCAGCTGTCAAAGTCTCAAAGACTTGACTGCTGGGAGCTGAGGCAGTGCATATCATTGAAAGTATCACTCTCTATTTGGTCTTCGGTTATGGAAAGCGTATAAGAACACTTCATGGGCTGCTGCCCAAAAAGAGGTATTGATTTGAGGTGAACCTTTAGTATGAACCCGTATGAATGCTTTTTGTATGTGTGGTGGTACATGAATAGTAACAAAATAGTGCTCGAAGCACTGACAGGTAATGCAAATTGCTTTTGTTGTGCATCATCAACGTTTCCAAGTTGTTCTGGTTTTGTATCATTTTATTGAGTTTCAGGCAAATACACATTTAAACTAACAACTTTGATAGCTGTGTTTCATTCCAAAAGCCTGGACAAATACCAGCTATCAAAGGTGTATAGTTTCAGCTGTGTGACTTCAGGCTACATGCTGCCTTTGACAGGAGGAGAATCACTGCAGATAGGTGAGACCTGCAGGCCTGGGGCTGCTTCTGGGTTTCTACTGTTGTGCTGCCAACTTAGTAGGTTTTTTGTTTATTTTTTGCGAGTCATGTTCTTTTGGTGTTTCCACTTTCAAAGTGGGGGAAAAATACTTCTTGCTTCTGATTAAGTCACTTTTCAGTCCTTATTGTAGAAAACGTCAGCCTCCCCAGCTCAGTCTTTGAGAGGCTCCTAAAAATCAAGTTTTACTCACATTGATTCCATCTGGTAACAAAAGTTTCCATACCCTAAGAAGCACTAGGGTGGAAGATGAACTACAAATATTAGCAGGAAGAACATATTAATAAAGCATTCTTGTCCAAAATGACCACACTATTAATCCTTTTATGGCTGGATATGTAAATTGCATGTGTTGGATGAGGCAATCCAAGTGAGCTTGGATGCAGAACACAGGCATTCTTATGAAACTACTTAAGAACACTACGGCATTTTGATGCTAATAGTTGTATATTGCTTTTTACTATTGTAAAACAACAATGAGACAGAACTATAAAACATCATTTCAAGATTACTTATTTTATTAGTGGTTGTAAAGGTCTGAACAAGTATCATAAACTGATGAGTGCTCCTATTTCTGTTACAAGTTTTCTTTAATTTTGAGATGGTGAGTGCTTGAGAAAAATCTGTGTTGTTGCTGGAGGACTGTTTGTATTTGCATTGCAGTGCATCAGTTCTTTGCCACATAACAAGGACAAATATTCCAGATACAAATGCTGTGTGTGAAACAGGAGAGAAACATAGCAGCAGTCTCCAAGTGTTTTGAAGCCACTTGAAATTATCTTAAATCAGCCCCTTTATATAAACAACTATCTGGTTTTTTGAGGACTTTGAGATGCAAGCTTGAAAGTTCTCATCTGCATCCTTGCCTTACAAATATTTATAGTAGTGGCAGGGGAGCAATGTTATATGTGCACACGTGTGCACATACACTTTTATCAAAGTCCAGGTTCAGTCCAGTCCTTTGCCTGGACAAGGTTTTTTGTTTGTGGGTTTTTGGTTTTGTTTTTTTTTTTGTCAATTGAGCTTATTTCACTTGAGACTAGAGAAAGCTTCTCTGGTAGAAGTATTGATGTACTGTTAAAAAAGGCATTGGTGGTAGGACAGACATGCAGGTGCAGCTGTACTAACAACATTTATCTGGAAAACTTTATCACAAATGGACTGAGCAGTGTGCAAGATATGTTTTGGTTCCCAGATGTGGCTTGGCAACTGACCACCTGCCCGTCTCTTTCTTTTCTTTAGCAATGCTGTGTTGGGATGGGGTGATGGGCGAGGCATGGGACAGAGATCATACAATGGGAGAAGGGCTCTTATACAGAGCATGAACATGGGGCTCTATAGAAAGCAATGTGATAAATATAGCTGCTTGCTGCATGATGCGTGGGGCTCACCAACTTCTGCCATGTGGGTCCAAGAGTAGGAGAGACTGTAACAGCCAGAAATCAGAGGCAAGGCCCTGCCAGCAAGTTGGGTTCAGGCTCAGACTCCGTATGGTGCTCAAATTGCACGTGGGCAGGGATGCTGGAGCAGAGAGAAAAGTATAATTCAGGGCAAAGTGAATAAAGTAGCAATGAGCAACGTGGGTATTTGGATAGTTTCTTTGCCAAAGGTGCTGGGGTCCCCAGGAGCATACACAGGGAGGTTGGAATTTTGAAGCTGGGTACAAAATGAATGCTGCGGATACAGGACTAGGATAAATGTGGGAGTGGGAACTACAGAGTTAAGGTGGTGAAAAATCAGGAGGCCTGAAGGGTGAGATCCCAGTGTGCAGGAAAGTAGGAGAATGAAAACCCATTTGGAGACATACAATTGGGTGCTGAGAACTTTGGCCATGTGGATAATTGGGAATGTGGATTTAAGGATGCAGAAGTTTGACTTTACAAGAACTTAGAAGCAAAGACCATAGATACATTTATGGGCCTAAAAGAAGGAATTCAAGCAAGTGCTTCCATTTGAGGCAAGAGTGTTACAATGCGGTTTCATTTTGGATCCAAGTTAGTCTTTTGTGTGACAAGACGTCTTTTTGAACATTGTTTTGACTTGCAAGTCATGAGCACTTGGGTAATGCAGGTGTTTGTGGCAGGAACTTTTTGCATCAGTTGATTGAGAGCAGCCTTGAGCAGAAGGACTTGGGGGTGTTGGTTGATTAAAAGCTCAACATGAGCCAGCAACGTTGCTTGCAGCCCAGAAAGCCAGCTATGTCCTGGGCTGCATCACAAGAAGCATGGCCAGCAGGTCGAGGGAGGTGATTCTGCCCCTCTACTCCACTCTGGTGAGACCCCACCTGGAGTACTGCACCCAGCTCTGGGGGCCCCAGTACAAGAAAGACATGGAGCTGTTGGAGCAAGTCCAGAGGAGGGCCACTAAAAATGATCAGAGGGCTGGAGCACCTCTCCTATGAGGACAGGCTGAGAGAGTTGGGGGCGTTCAGCCTGGAGAAGAGAAAGCTCTGGGGAGAGCTTAGAGCAGCTTTCCAGTACCTAAAGGGGATCTACAGGAAAGCTGGAGAGGAACTTTTTACAGTGTAATGATAGGACATGCAGTAATGTCTTTAAGCTGAAGGGAGGGTAGATTTAAATATTAGGAAGAAATTCTTCCCTGTGAGGGTGGTGTGAGGCACTGGAGCAGGTTGCCCAGAGAACCTGTGGATGCCCCCTCCCTGGAAGTGTTCAAGGCCAGGCTGGATGGGGCCTTGGGCAATGTTGTCTAGTGGAGGGTGTCCCTGCCCATGGCAGGGGGTTGGAACTAGATGATCTTTGAGGTCCCTTCCAACCCAA